CTGAATTAATATCAATAACTTTTATCCACGTCGAAAGTTATACAGAAAAACGAACTGATAGAATATAATGCATATACGTTCTTTGTACAGAGTCTCTTTTCAGTTTAATGGCCACATTGAATCGTAAGTTGTCATATTCTTTATATCATACAACGCAGTACTATTATGGTTCTAAAAATAACCAATGATTCTAAAAATAAACTACGCTTATTTACATCGGAAAGCTAACGTAAAGTACAGTAGTTTACAAGGAAGTCATTATTTACATAGGCGACAATGGTAGCCTTTTTTGGTCCTGCGTTTTCCCTATCAAAGATCCATTGAAAAAAATGTCGAATTCTGAATTATCACCACCTTTGGGTGTTATTGGAACTGCAAAACACATATGGTGCCGCAGCTTTTTTGATAGAAAAATGGCATTTTTTAAGGGTACTCAACGGTTCGCGAATTTTCGTAATAGTATAAATGATGAACACCCCTTGCTAAATTTGGCACAGAAAATGTTTCAGGTCACAAAGAGTTTTCTCTAAATTTCTCGCTATTTCTACACCAATGGCCAACACTCATTTCTCACTATTTCAATTTTGATTTCTAATTACTAGGGCAGCAGAAAATAAATTCATTTCTACCTATTATCTTGGATGTGAAATCTAGGTGGCGCCAATCATCTTTATTTACTTCCTTTTAACCAGTAGGGGCATGAGCATTTGGTTTTTACCGTGAATAAAACTAGAAAAAATGGTTATCAGAAAATAATATTGCACCAATGTCATTCATACTACATAATATATTTTATGTACATGTAGTCGATAATGTTAAGATAGTTTGAACAATGAACGACCTGTGTTAGTAATTTTGGTAGAAGCATGTTAATTGGCCTTCAGAAAAGAGATGAGTGTAAGTAATTTAATAAATTGAATGTATCTACCTTAAGAACAAATAGATAATTACATAGATGTCCCGTCATCGCCCAAAGAAGACAAAGGTCTACTTCCAACCATATTATGCAGATGTTACCATGTTACCTCTGATCACCTTACATATATATTTACTTTGTTGGCATGATACGGGTTATGTTCTTCTCATATATTTTATGATGGTATGATACTAAACCCCTAACGGGAGGGATTGTGTATGATTTTCATATAATGAAGACATAATCTTTCAATCGGACTAATTGAGGGTTCGCGATGGCATGTCAATATCTGCTAGTAGGCCTTTGTTTATGTATGTATCATTGTCATTTTGCTTAGTTTCTTCTGTTACCTATTCTGACATCGGAATCGGACTTCTTTTATACTGAGTTTTACTGTGCGTATTGCTGTGTGTTTGTTTATTCTACATTGGCTTAAGGTATTAGGGTAGGGTTGAGATATCATGTTTAACCCCGCCGCATGTTTGTGCCTGTCCAAAGTCAGGAGCCTCTGACCTTTAGTAGTCTTGTATGTTTTTTAATTTTAGTTTATTTATATGTTTCGGAAATTCTTCTCATTTATTTTATGATGGTATGAGACTTAACCCCTAACGGAAGGGATTGTACTTGATTTTCATATGATGAAGACATAATCTTTCAATCAGTTTATTTGAGGTCTGGAGCTGGCATCTTCGGCTGTTTTCTGCTCTTTGATCGGGTTGTTGTCTTTTTGACACATTCCCCATTTCCATACTCAATTTTATTTGGTTATCTATGGTCATCTTACATAAATATTGACGTTGGTAATGTGCCAGGTACACAGGCTACATAAAATGGCATATACACTTAAAGACAAACATGGTATCAGTAATCTTCATATTACATTAAAGGAGTGAACATTAAATAGATTTGATAAAATGAATTCTTCAACTTCACATCTTCGAAAATTAAGGATACTGCGATCGATTTGAAGTAAATATTTTCAGGATATGTCTCAAAAATAATAGTTATTCTTAGTTGGTACAACATGTACAAGGTTATGTTTTGTACAATAAGTCTCGATTCTTATTTCATCTCGATAACCACATCTTTGCTAGCCAAGGGTTACGATCCACTTCCCTCCTCTCCACCCTTGGCAGATTGAGATAGAATTTCGGAGACACAAGGTTATGATTTTCATTGGTTGCAGTCGAAACTCGCTGCATCCAATTAAAAAGCGCCTATACCATGATCACGTGTAAATGTAGAAAGTGTTTGTAAACAATTGCCACGTGCTTATTGTGCAACAAGTCTTTACATCCCTAAACATACGACTATATTTAGTGACAATTTGAATGTTTTTAATCAACTATTAGAAGTTCCTGTGTATGTTTCTTGCACAAATGCATGAATGTCAACGTATATTTTCGTTTCCTGCTTTACCAAGTGTGTAGAATCTAGACGCTACCGTGTTTTTACCTCCAAATTAAAGAGTTCAAGTGCTACCATTGGTCAAGAATAATGTATTCGGAATAGGCGTGACTTTAATCTACCGATAGATGGCGCAACATTGTTATCACAAATGTTGGCTTAATCTGCCAAGGGTGGAGAGGAGGGAAGTGGATCGTAACCCTTGGCTAGCGAAGATGCGATAACCACGGCAAAAAAGGAAAAACGACGAAAAGACAAACAACAGTACACAAAACACAACATAGAAAACGAAAGACTGAGTAACTCTAACCCCACAAATAACCGGGGGTTATCTTATGTGCTCCGAAAGGGTTAGTAGATCCTGCACCACAATTTGCACACGCCATTTGGCTCATGTAAGTACAAATCCGGTGATCAGTCTAATTCAGTTGGTCACATTCGAGGAAAAAAGGACAAGATTGTAGGCTGGTTCTCTCCTTGCAACATACGGGTATATCTGTCAGAGCCAAATAGATAAAAGGACAAGGAACCAGTCTAGACGGTATTGTGGTTATAGCAATTCTAACAAGTGTATAAATTGTCAACAGGTGATCCTGACAGTTCCTTAACTGTTATCCATATGAGCTAGGTAGTCCCTTGAGTAACAGTTTTAAGTGCTGCATCATAAAGGGTAGCAGTCCATAGGAAGCAACGCTACACACAAAAAACATGACACATGTTTGGAGAAAAGATACAACTACAGTCGATCATAACAGCACCATAGACGATATGCGGTAGGCTCCAAAGGGATACAAACTCATATGTCGTTGAAAAACTGACAGTGCCATGAAAAAGAATTGAAAATTGACCAAAAGGCAAACAATATATAGTAATAATTAAACAATTACAACCTATAAAAAGTAAACCCGGGACACACCAAAGATCGGGAGTGATTTAAGGTGCTCCGGAAAGGTTAACATGGGCTAGAAATGATTATTCCCTTTAATAGCAGTTTTAAGTGTTGCCTTACAAAGTTGACAGTCCACAGGAAGAAATGTTGTCCAGAACGTACATAAAACATGTGAGAGAAAAGTTAAATCACAAAAATACTGAACTCCGAGGAAAATTCAAAACGGAAAGTCCCTAATCAAATGGCAAAATCAAAAGCACAAACACATCAAAATGAATGGACAACAACTGTCATATTCCTGACTTGGTACAGGCATTTTCTTATGTAGAAAATGGTGGATTGAACCTGGTTTTATAGCGCTAAACCTCTCACTTGTATGACAGCCGCATCAAATTCCATTATATTGACAACGATGCGTGAATAAAACAAAAAGACATAATAGGTAAAAATGTCAAAATAGGGGTACAGCAGTCAACACCGTGTCACAATCTTAATCACAACAAAAAACAAACAAATATTTAACAAAGAAGCACAAAAAAGCATATATCACATTTAACAACCTCGTTCATTGCTTACTTATTTTTGTATTTTATTTATGTATGCCAAATCAACCCATAAAGGATCGAGGGATTTTAAGCACTGGGACCGAATCGTAATTTTAACATCAACTCTGGCGTAAAATCGCGTGTTTGACGTCAGAATGTTAACGTCACACAGGTAGAGATATAAAATAATTTTGTCGTTCAAAGTATGCAAAAATTATAATAGAACAATAACACAATGGCGGGATGTTTAAAGTACAGAAACACGTCATATGTATCAAAGAAACATAAAAAAGTCACACGGACAAAGCACAAAATTAAAAATGAAAAATAATACAAACAACACAATGCCGGGATGCAGAAGATACCTTAGGGGATAAAAGAAACATATTTTGAAGAAAAATCGAAAACTCCGTGGTCAAAAGAAAAAAGTGACGAACAAACAGCAGCCCATAAAACACTACACATGACATTAAACATTATCCATTGATACTCGAGATCAGATGATAGTTGGTAGGGGATGGGGTCCTCATCTCTGCATTATAAATTTTTATGCCATTTTTCTCTTCTCTGTACTTGTTTGGCCCATTATTCTCTATTAATAGACTATATTCATATTACCGACTTTTTACTCCGGATTATATAATTTGTCGACTGGTTACCTTGGACATCATGGTACCAAGTCAGGTAAGAGTAAGCTAAAGAAGTAAAACCAGGCGTTCATTCGGTACAATTTTTGGGGAAAATTACCTGCTTAACATTTTTTTTCACTACAAAATCATCGGAAAACAGTAAAATTTCCCTTCAAATTACACCGATTATATGTTTGATTATACATATTTTGGTTGCTCTTACTTGACTGAGTACCATGATGTCCAAGGTAACCAGTCGACAAATTATATAATCCGGAGTCAAAAGTCGGTAATATGAAAATAGTCTATTGTATAATATCACCCCATTTAAAAAAAAAAAATTTTGGCTATTTTATTTTGTTCTTTTTATGGTTTTATCCTCTCTTATATATTTTTGCCAATTATTCTCCATTCGTTATATTGAATTCAGACCCTCATACTTTTCTGTTGTTAATAGTGAATGCTGACCTCTAAATGACTCTTTTGTTTTTTTCGTGTTGCTAGGTGGCTATATAAGTTGTTGACGTACCATTAACATCAAATTTGAATTATATTTAGATGATCAAAAGGACAGGCATGCCTGTATAGGATTCGAAAATAATACAAGAAAATGATAAGTTATGAGTTTTATTCGACCTTCTACATTTGACCTGATGAATCATCTGCCTATGATAGTACTTTCTGTAAAAGAAATTTCAATCTTCTTAATGACATTTAAAACGATATTTTTTTAGTCCACAAATTCATTATTTAAGGATGTTCGCTCCACTTGTTTTTTCATTTTTTGCCAAATATTCGGAATCCTCTGGTTTTTTCTATGTAGTGCCATTAAATATTTTTGCCCACTAACCCCTACTTTTCTTTCCATAATTTGATTACATATAGTTTAAAATGTCATCTTTGATAATCTTATAAAATCCTTGTTATTTTTTCATCGTTTTTGAAAGATAAAAGGTGCCAATGTTAAATATATAAAAAATCTAGAGAGAATCATTTCCCGCCAAATTTTCAATGGCTTATATCTCGAAAACAAGCACACGGACCCTCCTTTTTTCTGCTTTGTTAGTTCCTTTATTTATATACTATTAATTTATAACAGTCTTTTAAAAAGTTTGTTATTTCGAAACAGAGTAGCGAACATCCTTAATTTAATTCATGGTTGTTCATTGTAGAATTTGTGGTAAAAACGTCTTAAGAGTACGTCAAAATGGTTATGCGTGTTTTTCAAGTACATAAGGAAAACATACGAAGAGTGACTAAATTAACAGCTACTAGTATTGCAAGAGTTTACATAAAAATGCCGACGATGTTCGACTGGTAGGCCTACTGTATTGTCATCTTTGATGTTGACTTTCCCCATCGAAAGGTACTGACTAATAGCGTTGACATTCCATGAACTACTGCCTCTTCCAAAATTGTTAATAGTTACCTTTTTGTGTTGGATTCAAGTGTTTAATTACCAGCTTGAAAAGGAACTGCTTACCATTCAAGAGCACCTGAGTTTGGCCCTGGTTTTGGTTGGGTTCTGCGAAATGTTCTGAAAACTACTGTTTGATTTTTCGTCTGCATGTCCATACTGGTTTAACTCGTTCTTGTGTTTACGATAGATGATTGATTGATTGATGTTTAACGCCACTTTCAACACTATTGTGCTATTTCATGGCGGTCAGTTTTTATTGGTTGAAGAAGCCGGATTGTGTTTACGAAACCGAGATTATAAATTTATATACTTATTTTTTTAATAAACTCTAGGTAAACGGAAAGACAAAAATAATTAATAATAATGTTTCAAAAATTAATCTTGATATGCTGTACTTACGTGAAACTAAAATGATTGAAAATGCGGCTTGAACTTGTCCTAGTGGATTGGATGCCGTGCACATTGCTGTTCCGGATTTATCAACATGAGTCAATGTCAAAGTCGAGTTATCAGACGATAATGCCTGTTGAATATGACTATTTCCTACAAACTGAAATCACGGAAAAGGGTTATAAATATTTTACTAAAAGAGAGGCGAAAGATACCAAAGGAAAATTCAAACTCATAAGTCAAAAATAAACTGACAACGCCATGGCTAAAACAGAAAAAGACCACCGGACAAACAATAGAACACAAACACAATATAGAAAACTAAAGACTGAGCAACACGAACCCCACCAAAAACTGAGGTTGATCTCAAGTGCTCCGGAAGGGTAAGCAGATCCTGCTACACATTTGTCAAGCGTAAAATATGTTTTATTTCCTGCACCCATCCGCTGCCTATAAACTCCTATAAAATGAGTTGATTTTTGAATAGAACTATTATCACGTGTTGAACACTTTTTAGTATACAATTATGAGACATTATCTTTATCAATTTCACCAGTCTTATTTTGTTACGTTCTATCTTCAAGATGAGCAAGAATATTTCGTCTTTGATATGTTGAAAAGAAAAGATCATAACTTTCAGACGTATGTTTGTCTGTTAAACATATTTATCAACGTTGGGATACATTTACCCCACACAATTATTATAAAAGTTAAAGACCTAAAAAGTATTGAATAAGTGGAATTAAGTCATTATATATTCTAAATGTTTCCATTCTTTTAAAATGACCTCATTTGACAATGAGGGTAATGCCCAAACTAATCATTTGTCATTCCCTAATGCGCGATGCATTTCTTCAGAGTAGGTCTCATACAGCAAGGCCATTAAAGAACAGGAAGACACAATCGACAATGTACAGTATGTCCACACAATAACGAAAAAATGAACAATATTCATTTTGTATTCCTTTAAACTATGAAATAGTGAATGGTGATCACCTCAAAAGTACCAGAAACAACAAAAGAGTCATAACCTTTACGTTTGTCAAAATCGTGTTTGAAAAAAACAATATGAGTATTGAGAATAGAGTAAAATATGCCATTTCTTTTTTAGAGAATAATGGGACAATGTTATATAGAGGAGAATGGCCTTTATATAAAAACAGAAATGAAAAGCTCCTTCCAGACCCACTGTAAACATATTCTGCTATCTGTTCGGTGTGAGCCAAAGCTCCGTGTTGAAGACCGTACTGTGACCTATAATGGTTTACTTTTATAAATTTTGACTTGGATGGAGAGTTGTCTCATTGGCACTCATACCACATCTTCTTATATTTATCTAATTTTACTTACTGCTTGAAACCTCCATGTGATTGTTGGAATTGGATTTCCTGTTGCTTTACACGTCACTGCCACAGGTTTGGAGGACGTTGTTGTTACAGTTGTAGGTGTTGATGTTACAATAGACGGATGAGCTTAAAAATAAGAATAATAGAAAATTATATTCAGTTCGATCAATTCAGTTTTCAAACTTCTGAAATGCTTTTGATTTCCTTTAACATGGTATTATACAACAGTGAAGAAATGCAATGAACGGCAAAAAAAAAACCCAAAACAAAACAAAACAAAACAAAACAAAACAAACAAACAACTACGGCGATTAAGTATCATAATAGGGTTGTTTTGTTTCACTTTTTTTGTCGTTTCTCATTGGATAATTGTGTTATTGTCTAATTCACTATAAAAACAAAACTATAAAAACAAACAACTATGTCAACAAAGAAAAACAAAATGGCATATAGACACTCTATAGACAAAGCACATAAGCAAAAATGAAAGACAAGAATACAAAAAAATTACCATAGCACAATAAAACAATGACGGAAGGTATAGTACCGAGCCACTCAAAAAGGATATTGCCAAATATAAACTACAGTAAAGATTAAAAATATACAAAGACAAATGAAAAGAACACTATAAAACGTTATTAATACACTTCAAGACAATCATGTATTATTTGTGAAGTTGATACGGCATACAAATACAGCATAATTGAATTATGAACCGTGCGTCACACGAATGTATCAACGCCACAAAAAGTGACGTCACAGTAAATTTCAAAAAATTGAATATAAAATCGTGATTAAGTTTGTAATGGTGTTATTTGATGTATTTTCTAACAATTACAAGAATATTAATATAAAATTGTGTTAATAATGGTGTAATTAACTTTATTTTCTAACCAAGTTTGTTTTTCTTCTAAATCAAACTGTGTAAAAACAAATAAATCCTGTGCATATAGTTGCTTTAAACGAAAGATCATACAAATGAACTAGGTGATTAATTATCTTACTTTTACATACATAGAAAAAATAAAAAAAAGAATTAAAACCACAAACAATAAGACATAAAAAAATATCCAATTAGAACTAAAAATAAAACATCATAACTAAATATACGAATGTTGGATGTACAAATACCGAGACACGTCTAATAGCAATGCGGATTCACACTCAGCAAAACAGACATGTTTGGGAATAGGTCACGTTCGGTACTTAAAAGACCAAACGACGTATATGGTAAACCACAATAAAAGACGCGGTAAAAATGTTGTTAGCTAGTTTAGACATAGACACACCGTATAGATCAACCAATGCATAAACAGTGAATGCTACAGTTACTGTCTTTATGTTTTATGAGACGCACTAAATGAATAATGTACTTGTATTTCGTGCCATGGAGACAGTTATGATTTCTATATTTGATTTTTTTGTTCTCACGAAAGTATCTTTTGGTATCTTTGTTCTATAACGCCAATGATAAGTTGTGTGTTGAAATATGGTCATCCGTTGACCTCTCCCATCTATCATTAAAAAACCTTGCTTAAGACGGACATCCGATTGACTCTTTGTGATGTATAAATAGGGAATCACGTCCGATCAGTACCGTAACGTAATTCGATGCATCATGATAGGTGATGCCACGCTATCTGCACATTTTAGAACCATTAGAACAATTCTCTGATGGGTCCGTAAGTGGTCTGTTGCAAAGTAAAATTTCTGCCTTTTCCAACTTCCCTAATTTCCCATTCGCAGTCTAGTTGTCTCACCTTTCTTCCGGTACAGGAACATCCAAACTGACAGACCATATCGTTGTAAGAGGGTCAAAGGCAAATCATCGTCCAAAAAATTAGAAAACGTAACAAAAGGGCACGAAAAATCGTCTCTTTTGTTGTAAATGTTTGTATAAAGTTTCCCCTGTAACCTAATATCAGACTTATGTACATAATGTGTTGATACATAATGTGTTGACCTTGCCCTTTTAAGTTTAATGTGTTGTTGAGTTGTCTTGTTAAATTTTACCCAACACTTCTTTTTAAAACAATGCGCGTTTTGCTAAAATACTTCTACATAAACGCTTTTTAGATGAAACCATGGTCTCTTTTGATGTAATGTTTTGTACAAAGTTTCATCACGTTAAACTAGATATTAGACTTATATACATAATATGTTGACCTTGCCCTTTTAAGTTTAATGTATTGTTAATTTGTCTTGTTGAATTTTACACATTCCTTCTTTTAAAAACAATGCGCGTTTTACGAAATACTTCTATACATAAGCTTTTTTGGATCTAAAAGGAAACAATGTCCTATACCCATTTTCCCTGCTTTCCTATTAAAAAACAGTTTTGGATTCGGGTTTACTGAGAATAGTGGAAAAAGAGACCCAGATAATACATTTCTAAACCTACTTCCAGAGACAAGTAGAATTGACGTCTTTTGATCTCTTCCTGCATCGTTTACAGCTACACATACATAAGCTCCTATATCTATAAGTTTAGCCCTTGGTATTATCAACTCATTCGATATCCCTCTTTTTACCTATTTGAAACAATATATATCATATATCTATAAGTTTAACGCTTGGTATTATCAACTCATTCGATTTCCGTCTTTGTACCTATATGAAACAACATATATCCTATATCTATAAGTATAGCCTAGGTTTAACATTTGTCATTTCGGGGACTTTTATATCTTGCTATTCAGTGTTGGTTTTGCTCATTGAAGGCCGTATAGTTGTTAACTTCTATTTCATTTGGTCTCTGTCGGAGAATTGTGTTATTGACAATCATCATACCACATTTTCTTATTTATTTATTTTGTTTATTAAGGTTAACTAAAACAAAGTAAGAAATAGATAAATGAAAAGGTAACTGATAAAATTGAGAATGGAAATGGGGAATGTGTCAAAGAGACAACAACCCGACCATAGAGCAGACAACAGCCGAAGGCCACCAATGGGTCTTCAATGCAGCGAGAAACTCCCGCACTCGGAGGCGTCCTTCAGCTGGCCCCTAAACAAATACATATACTAGTTCAGTGATAATGGACGTCATACTAAACTCCAAATTATACACAAGAAACTAAAATTAAAAATGATACAAGACTAACAAAGGCCAGAGGCTCCTGACTTGGGACAGGCGCAAAAATGCGGCGGGGTTAAACATGTTTTTTTGAGATCTCAACCCTCCCCCTATACCTCTAGCCAATGTAGAAAAAACAAACAGTACGCACAGTAAAACTAATTCACGAATAAAGTAAATTAACAAAATAACTTACTAGTTATAATGATAATAAGGATAATCTGCATTTTGATGATGATGATAATAAAAAGTCAATAATTAGCACAATTAATATACTTGTGAATTTAGATATTAATCAAATAACTGCCTTTTTTCGCTCTTACTCATATGCGCAGTAAGTCTATTTGATTGTCGAATAACTACAAAGTATAGCCTATATGAAAGGGACGTAATATTTACAACATCAATTCCAAATTGTGAAGAATTTGAGGTATTTTGCCCAAATAAATGGGGTGAACAAAACATTACCAATTTAGTGTTACTGATTACAAAAAATAACTATTGCGCTAAACGGATTTCGTACTCCTATACAGGAGTCAGGAGCAAGGAATATGTCAGTTGTTATCCATTCGTTTGATGTGTTTGAGCTTTTGATTTTGCCATTTGATTACGGACTTTCCGTTTTGAATTTTCCACGGAATTCGGTATTTTTTTTATTTTACATTTTTTTTCACAAGTAATACTAATGGAAATATTTTTAAGAATATTAACGATCATAATGAAATAAATATTGCTATTAATAATAATGATAATAATATTATAAATAATACGATTAATAAATGATTATAAGAAAAAGGTAGAAAAGAAGAGGATGGAGAAGAAAAAGAAGAAAACGAGAGCATTATAAGGAAAATACTTACACCATTAAAAAACCACGTGATTTCCGGTTCCGGATATCCGGTTGCAATGCAGTGAAAGTGTACCGTTGATCCGTATTTAACTTGTAAGTTTGTAATCAGACTAACTGTTGGAGGGATATGGGCTGAAAAGACAGGTTGTCATAATCATAATATATCAATAATTGAGGTTTTTTTCAAAATTTGTAATATTTTTCGATTAAAGTTTTGGTCAATGGCTGCAATAATGACTTCCCATCAATTAATCTTGGAAACCAAATTTTACGATTGATTTTTCAAATAACGATATAGCACTATGTGCATAAGCTTCTTTCAACAATGATGATGATGGATGGCTGATTAACGTCCAGCGGCAAATTAATATGCACATTCAGGACGAGAAAATGGTAATGTTGTATGAATATTAACCCTGCTTTATATTATACCGACACGCCGAGCCTGATTTTTAACGTGCTAATTTACAAGGTAACAGTCCGCAGGAAGACATGTCACCTTACCTGGACACATTATTCTGACTCCGAGGTTTGAACCCACGACTACTGCACTCGCAGCGAACACGCTACCACGAGACCACAGAGGCGGTTGCCCCATTCAATACTCGTAACAGTTACAGAAATGAAAATTCTTAAACATATCAAAATATTTATTTAAATATTTTTTTTTTCTATCATAACAATTTTGACTATTCTACTTTATGCTGTAAAATTCCTCATGTTATTTAAAAAAGAGGGTCTCACAACAATCTGATGAAAATGCATATTGCTTACAAGGACCTGACAATGCTCCGTTCTACTTCCTGTTCCGGTAATTATTACATCAGCCAATGTAATTTTAGACTTTTAATTTTTGAAGGTGTGTATCATTATGGCAATTGGAATTACATCAAATTCAGGACTGACGACTTACGTTTTGGATTGACAATAATATGTATTCCTTTCACTGTTGTTCCAGCTTTGTTTGTAGCTGCACATTTATAAAACCCACTGTCCTGTAGACCAACATTGTGTATAATCAAATAATTCTCATACTGTCGGACATTGTTTGGCATTGAACCCTAAAACAGACAAATTATGGTGACTCTTTTTATCAAAATCGTTTACCAAATGTGATATACAATTACATGAGTTCTACGGATTGGTATAGGAAAGGTTCATTAAGAAGCAACCCCCTCCCACAAAATCGATTAAAAAATAGCCCAATTCAACAAATAGAAAGGACTCGCATCAAGTACCTATCTATTTTTCAAGATACTTCAGGTTTTTTTTATTCGTCCATAAGCCCTATTTGTAACAAACATTTAGATTTTTCAGATGAAAATCTTTGGACAGGATACGTATTTCCTGCATTTTTGTCTTCGCTTTAATTTCATCACCGAATGCTTTCTGCATAACTTGTCTGATATAGCATCTTATTCCTTTAAAAAATCGGAATATATAAAAAACAAATCAAGTAAAAGGAGGTAAAGACAACGATGAAGTATGATAAAGATATATTGGTAAAGGTCTATCATATGAAAGTAACAAGACACAATCACATGGTAAACAAGATCATTGGATGGTTAATGTGCCTTACGAGCGTGATGCATGGCAAAATGTTTATCCCGACCAAACATACCCTCTCTGTCCGGGGTAGTGAAAAAGCCAACATTTTATACCGGTCTAACCACTTTACAGATCCAACCGATTTTTTGATGATTTTTTGTTGTCCTGAATATATATGTAATATTTGCCACTTTACTTTAAGCAAACAACATTTATAAATCAATACGATACTATTGAGCAATACGGATAGCGGGTAAGGGAGCTACCATTTGATTTTTAGGGAAGGGGTGGGGGGGGGGGGGGGGGGGTGGGGGCTAGCATGAAATTTGAAAAATAGGCAGGACAGGAGTTTTGAGTAAAAAAAGGCAGGATGAGCAACTTGGAAAAAAAAGTAGGATGAGCAACTTGGAAAAAAAAGGCAGGATGACAATTTATGTAAAAAAAGTCAGGATAAACATTTAAAAAAAAATCAGGACCAAATAGAGTGAAAAAAAAGGCAGGACAGAGATTAAAACTAAAAAAAAATGCAGTACAAAATTTTTCATCATAGCCCCCCATAAAAATCAAATGGTAGCTCCCTAATATGTATGTATGTATACGTATTTTGACCATAATATTCTCACATATTCTAGTTACCTGTAGTTATTCCACATATTCTAATTACCTGTAGTTATTCCACAAATTCTAGTTACCTGTAGTTATTCCACATATTCTAGTTACCTGTAGTTATTCCACATATTCTAGTTACCTGTAGTTATTCATCATTTTCTAGTTACCTGTAGTTATTCATCATTTTCTAGTCACCTGTAGTTATTCATCATATTCTAGTTATCTGTAGTTATTCCACATTTTCTAGTTACCTGTAGTTATTCCACATATTCTAGTTACCTGTAGTTATTCATCATTTTCTAGTTACCTGTAGTTATTCATCTTATTCTAGTTACCTATAGTTATTCCACATTTTCTAGTTACCTGTAGTTATTCCACATATTCTAGTTACCTGTAGTTATTCCACATATTCTAGTTACCTGTAGTTATTCATCATTTTCTCTCATATGTTTGAGCGTTCCTAATGAAAATACATCCAGAAAATCCAGAAAAGCGCTTGGACGCACCGTTAATGTAATCAATAATAAAAAATATTTTTTTCTAGATTGGGACAGGTGATTTACCTGGTCAACTGTCCAAAGGATTTTAGGAACAGGAATACCATCCGCTGAACATGGGATCGCCAATGTGTTTTTACCCTCTGTTACATTTATGGCTTGCTGTAAGAAAACATCTGGCTTTATCAGCAATGGTACGGTCGACTGGGTTGTAAGGATCGGTAAAATTGATGCTGAAAAAATAATTTCTCTTCTAAACTTGATGTATTTTACAAGCTAAGCAAGTAACAAATACAAGTTTCTTTACACCGACTCGTCTTCACATAACTCTAATCACTAGAAAAATCACTCTTTCATCCCCCATACACCATTTCATAGTTTTGTTTACCACTCAACCCTGCGACTATCTATGCCTGTGTGCCTTGGGTAGAAAAACATTAAACTGTTTTTCGAATGATATAAAATATTTATGGAAATTTTACCTTAAATTACCTTATATTACAATGTTTTTTACGTACACACGGATGTTCACGTATCACCGATTTTATTTTCTTAATTTTGGTTTCAATTTTTGATCATTGGCTTGTTTCATAGCAATAGGACATACTATGGTTATTATAGCAATATACAAAAAGTATGGTAATTAAAGCACACGCTATATACAAATAATATGGTAATTTTAGCTATATGCAAATCATATGGAAATATTTCAATATGCAATAATATGGTAATTTTAGCAAAATACAAATATTATGGTAATTATATCGAGCGTTGCATCTTACCATTCTTGTAGTGAACATGATAAGCGAAAGTGGCTGTTCCAAGAGGATTGTGAGCAGCACACGTGTACGTTCCAGCCATGCTTGGTTTCATATTCTTCAATCTTATTTCAACTCTTTCATAATGGAAATCAATAAAAGTTTGTCTGGTGTTGCTGTCCTATAAAAGTAAATGTATTTATAAATGGAGTTCGTATATATGGGTGTCTGAAGTTTGTTTTTTTAGGGGGGGGGTGTCTTAGATTTATGTTTTCTTTAAATGTTTCGGCGTTTTTTCTATTTCTTTAATAATAACGCTTATTCTGTAAAATTCTCATGAAAATGACATTAATATTGGATCTTTCTGTAATTAGATGATATTTCAAAATTTACATACAAAATTAGTATTTGTATTACCTAATTCGTTTATTTTCCACAGATATTCTTTTTACTTTTGCATCCCATTATTCTACATTATTTATAAAATTATGCTCATTTATCAATTTTAGTGCTATTAATATATATTCTGTAAACACCATCCAGACCCTCATATATATTTACAAATGAAGTCCTGAATATTGAGACGCTTTTATTTGTGCCCCATATATCTGAGATCTTCGTACCCTTCCGGAGCACCTGAGATCCGTTTTTTTGGTGAGGTTCGTGTTGCTCGGTCAATAGTGTTTTATGTTTAATTGTGATTACTGTTGTTTGTCTTTTCGTCGTTTTTCGCTTTTTTTTTGCCATGACATAGTCAGTTTGTTTTCGATTTATGAGTTTAAATATCCCTTTGGTATCTTTCGACTCTCTTTTATAAGATTAAAATTAAGCTATATTCACAGCAGACTTAGAAATACTACTTTTATTGTTTATCTAAATTATATTTCAAAATTTCAATAACGTAATCAAGGTTTTGGTGAAAGCTCACTTAATAGTCACCATATTTGGAAGTGTCCACGTGACCGTTGGCTTTGGGTCACCTTCCGGAATGCAAGTTAATCCCACATTTTCTCCACCAAGTACATACACTTCGTTCGTATCTTTTACCGGGAAGTAAGGAGCCGCTGAAATATTTCATGTTCAAAATTACAAGACATTGGATTCAAAAATTGAAAAACAATCAAAACATAAAAAGCCTTTCTCAAACAGTTATTCGACCAATTGACAAACCAAAGTCCATTCTTTACTTTGATTCATTTATAGAAGAAAAATTAAAAGGGTATTGCGAGACGGAAATAAGAAAGAAAAATTGAAAGACTCGGAAATGTGAAACTGGAAAATGGGGTAAGACAAATATTACGATAGGAAAGGAGAATACGAGTATTAAAGGAAAAAGGATAACAGTGATAGGAAAGGAATGAAGCAAAGAGGAAGGAAAGTATTACATTTCACCAGCCAAAGAGGAAGATGGTAACTAAATGAGGTGACGAGCCTATCTAATTAGTTGTAATTGATCTTAGATTTTCAAATCATTATACATCATACCGTTACAAATGAAGTGGACATGCCTCATCAAAACAATAATGTTTGTGTCATTTGTTTTAACTTGAAATATGCAATTTATTTAATAATAAGATTTCTAATAAAATAGTGTTGCGCTATCTAATGTTTTCACAATCTAAAATACTCAACGTTTAAACACAAAGGTGTAAGATCAGCACATTCTAAAAACGACCGGTGAGAATCGATCAAAGGTCATCATTGACCTTAGATCATTACCACAGAAAAAGTATACGCCATATAGATACTTTTTGTTTTGTTTTGCTCACGGATCCAATGTTGTCAATACAAAGGATGTATAAACAACTGCCATACAAGTGGGATTTTTAACTAGCTATAAAACCAGAAAAAGCCTACACCAAGTTAGTAATATGACAATTGTTTTACATTCGTTTAAGTCTAACGTTTAATTTTGTCACTTTAAATGGACTTCCCCTTTTTGAATTCACCTTGTAATTCGGTATTTTCTAACAATATTTTTTTCAGAGTAAATGAGCATGATAATTTTACTTTCGTTTTTTAACGTCATCATGAAATCGTATGAAGCGTCTAAAAATGCTGATTATGATAACTCCTACCCTCAAATCTGGAATATGAAAATA